CGACACCGTCAGGGAGCTGGCGGACAGGCTGGACGCAGAAACAGGAAGTTGAAGACGGGATGAAGTCAAGTCGGGACGCCATAGCGTCGATACCATCGGGCACACGACATCACGGATTCGATTTATGATACAATGACGGCACGAGTGCATCTGGGTGGCAAATGAGACAAAAATGTAACTGGTTCGAATGCGGTCTTTTTCTCTATCACCATCGTTTGAACGTCAATGAAACTGTTGCTTGAAAGCAGTGTTGTCTTGGACAGCCGATCGAGTCTTTTGAAAATACCTTTTAGTCCGAGTCATATTTTACTCATCTTTTATGGCTTTCTCAAACAACATGACTTGTTGGTTGTTCACGAAGGTCATGTTTGTCGGACTACCGGTAAAATATCGTTTTGCATCTTGGACCGGGCGAGAAGTCGCACTACAAGTCCATCAAGCGGCCACGCCCCGCCCAATCGTCGCATGCTTCAGTCAAGATTCAGTCCATGGGCGCAGGTCCATCGGGTCGGAGGGACGCGGCAGCTGTCCAAGTCATGCCGACATCACGGGCGTATGTGCGTTTGTCTTCTGCCACCCGCATGCGCAAGTTACGTCATGCTCTATGGAAAGCATTTATTTAATATCCTTGATATCTGGCTCAGGGTCTGGTACTAGCATACTCTCTATTATCACTTGCCGTACGAGTAGAATGACTAGTCAATATGTTTCCACAACTAGCGCCACTTCTGCGCTCCAAGCAATACGAGGGATGTGGAATAAATGCGGGAAAGCTCTTTGCATGACGACGCACCTCTTGAGCTGAGAGTGAAGGTAGGTGGTGATGCGCGTGGCCTCCTCCAGCTGTCGCAGCAACACGTTCCTCTTCTCCTGCTGCAGGAGCCTGGACGCAAACGTCGAGCAATGACACGTCAGTAAACATGCCCGCGTGGTAGTCGAAGTCGGCGTCACACTCGTAGTCATTGTCGGAGTAATAGTAAGCGGTGAGACTTCATCACAAGACCCGTCTGCTCTTCTACCAAACTCATCCAAGAAGTAGGAGAAGTAAGAGTCACAGTAGTGACAGTAAAAGAAGTTTGAGGTAGAAGGAGTGATATGTTTTTCTTTTGTTGTTGTGAGGAGTGTGGGGGTTGGACGGGGTTGGCCGACCTCTGATTGGCTCCCTGACTCTGTGAGCTGTGCGCCCGCTGCACTTCCTCCTCCAATCGGCAGCGTTCCTCCTCCAGATGACGCAGCGTGTCAGGACCGGGATTGGGGTTAGGATCAGGACCGGGACTCTGATCAGGATCGGGATCGGGACCCGGATCGGGGCCGTGAGCCTTCTTGTGCTGCTTGCTGATCATGATGATGTCGTGCAGCAGAGCTTCCTTCTCGCGCAACAGCTGCATGAAATCTCGGTCCCGGTCGGCCTCGGCTCGGCCCGACCAGCTCTCGCTGTCCAGCTGGGCCAGCTGGTGCTGGATACTCTGCACCCTGGTTGACACGCAGGGTTGCCACAGTCATGAAATAGGGAACAAACTTTTTAACAATCATAAATACGTACGTATAATATGTGTTTAAATATAAATATAAAGCCCTGCAAAAAAATGTGAAAGAAAAAAAAATGTATAAATGCTCGAAATGATACATCTGTATCTTTGGAATTTGGGAATTATGATGTTGATGATAAAACTCTAAAAAAAATACAAAACCATGAATAAAAACTACAAACATCATATTAAATCTCAAACTGGAATAAATAAAGTAAATTGAAAAAAAATTACATCATATTGTCAACAAAATCGATTTTAAAAATAGAATATGAATATAAATAATAAAATATGGAATAAATTAATTATCAAAATACTTTTTTTGACATTTAAATGTTAGCATTCTCTCTCTCTATATATACACACACACACACACACACACACACACACACACACACACACACACACAATTTTTTTTTTGGGGGGGGCGGGGGGTATAAAAACATGCCGCAAACACACTTACTTCTTCTTTGCCTCCTCGTACTGCCAGTTGACTTTGACCTTGTCCACCATGTGGGAGGAGTCCTGCAGACAAGGTGGCCGTCAGTCATGGCCTCGCAGCCGCGACTCACGTGAGGATGAGGAGACATGCGCGACCTCTCCCGTCATCATGTCCGTCTGGCAGCCGGCGTCGCAGTACTGCTGCTGATGCTGCTCGCCGGCCCCCGTGGCCCCTCCCCCTCCGCTGCTGTCGACCACCTCGCCGGCCGCGTCACCCGCGCACAAGCTGCTCTGGAAGTTCACCGTCAGCTTGGCCAGGCTCTGCAACATGAAAAATATTGATTGCTATTGATGCTAAACGGGCTGTCACTTAGATCGCGCTTTTCTACCTCGGGTACTTAAAAGCTGTTGCTTCAATCATCTACAGATATGGAGATTAATTTGAGATGCGTAAATGAAGTGACATCATCCTTAATCAAGTCATGGAGAAGCTAATAGAGGTCCAAAGTAGCTGCAAATAAACAAAATGATTTTTCGCCAATGAATCACAGGCTTTGTCATTTGTTGCGTTTTTTTTCTTTTTCTTGCCCGAGCTCGTCTGGCGGAATGAGCGGGACGCGGCGGCTGACTCACACGTCTGGAAAGGAGTCGAGCAGTGAATGAATCCCACCTGGATGAGGTCCTGCCTCTCCTTCTCGCCCGCGTTGATGGCCTTCTTGATGCTGCGCAGCTCGTTGAAGATGGCCTGGGCCTCGTCCAGTTTGTAGTTGGTCTGACTGCACGACATCTTACGGTCGATCCTGAACCAGGGACAAAAACGGCCGCTTTCAATTCCACACGGTCACGTGAATCAAGAGTCGGATCGCATGAACTATCGGAAATGAGATGGATCCGAAAAACAGTTAATTTTTCAGGGAGAAAAAAAAAACATGCTATTCTACAGAAATGAATTATATCGGAAGTTGCAAAACTGACACTCAATTGCCAAGAAATCCATCAAAAGTAGGTATTAGAAGAAAAAGAACCACCGAGATGGGCCCCAAAAGCGTCACTGGGCTAACCCCATGTACGCGGGTCATCGGGAGGTCGAGGGAAGCTCTGTGGTACTTATGCCAAAGACGTGAGTGAGCTAGCAACAGGTTCGGCTTGTTACTAGTGCGCCTAAACATGTTAATAGTCACTGCGAGGCCACTAATCTCCTCCATCGTGATGATGAAGAAGAAGCTACATCTCTGACAAGTATGATACAAGTACGAATGGATGACGAGAAAAGATGGCGAGCTATGCTAAATGCTAGGCTAACGCACGTGTGATCGATGATTTGATGAAAATTCGTAAATTTTACAAGAATAAAGTCGTAATGTGACCCCCAAAAAAATGGGAATTATATTAAAAGATCAAATCTACATTTCCATGAAGAATATTGAGGACAAACCTCATGACAAGAAGGTGGGAATGCTTCCCAATTTAACAGCGAGACGAGATTTTGCGGCGCTAACGTGGACCTCCTATTGTTCGCGCTGCTTTTCAAGTTCTCCTTTCAAAGGTTTCCTCACTGCGTATCCAGTGTCTACTCTGTCAACCCACCACACGGATATATGCGCACGCACACGCACACACGGCCGCACTGTGCTTCAAAGTGTCTTTTCATCATTGAACTACAAAAAAAAACCCCAAAAAACAAAACAGAACCAATATGCCGCTGGGGCCCTGAATCGGCTTATGTTCTACAGCGTGGTGGCAAGGGAGGATGGGGAGTGGGTGGCGAGTGGAGGGTGGAGTTGGGGGGGGGGGAGGGTCGCCCTCCTCCCCCCTGTCGCCGGGCCTGGCACGTGGCCGCTGCGCTCACCGCAGCCCGATTCCTTCACAGCCCTTCAACAGCAGGTAGTGTTCAGCCAGCCACCAGGCAACAAGACCTGCTTTGTTCGGACCCCAAACTACCCCCCCCCCCCCACACACACACACACAAACACACACACTCTAGCAAGGCTATGGAGTTTACATGCTTACAAGAAGGGGAGGTGGCACATACTGAAAAGAAAAAAAAAAGGGAGGGGGGAACCATACTACAAGAGTTCTATGAAGTCATAATCCAAAAATGTCATATTAGGCGCAATTATGACCAATGTCAATTTTGCTCCAAAAAAAAAAAAACGAGAGCCCATTTTAGACGAATAAAATAAAAATACTGACACAAATTCAGTTGCAATTTCAAGAAAATTAAGTTCAGATATTAAGATAAAAAAAATACATTTACAAGACTAAAGGCACAATTATACTAAGAAAAATGTATAGTTTCATAAGGATAAAATAAAAATTATACAAAAAATGAAGTTGTAAATATACAAGAATAAATGGGTAACATTGAGTTTTGAAAAATAAGATTTTTTTTAAAGACACTAGGCTATTTTTTACTCGAACATATATGTATTTTCTTTTATTAAAAAAATAAAAAAATCTTACATCATTCATTTGAAATGATTTTGTTATTTTAAAAATATAAATATATTACAAAAATTAAATTGTAATTTCATGAGAATAAAGTAGAAATTCAAATACCATATAAAATTACGAATAAAGTCGGAATAATAAATCCCAAAACAATTTTACATGAATCAAGACATTTTACAGGAATGAAATCAAACATTTGAAGAATTAAGTTGGAATTTGGTAAATTGTAATATTAAATATTATATATATATATATATATATATATATGTGTGTGTGTGTGTGTGTGTGTGTTGGGGGGGGGGTCTTTGACGTCCTGATGCAGCACAATGCAGCGGGTGAACAATGTACATTATTTCCAATTGTTTTCCAAAAGCCCCAAGCTAATTCTCTGGTGTGCAGAGGCAGATAAAAGGCGCAATTGTGTTGGCCAGTAAGTGAAAAGTGTGTTTGATCTGATGCGACACAGTGTGGACGGCATATTGCCCACAACAGCCTGAGGTGGCCCCCACCCTCCACACACACAGCACACTGCATCTACACACGCATACACACGCTTGTGTTTGTATGTGTGTGTGTGTGTGTGTGTGTGTGTGTGTGTGTCTCAGTGTTGCGCACAATCTTTGCAGGTTATTCTGGGAACGTGTGCAGTTGTGTACATCTGGCAGATAAGCGAGTCAGGAAGTGCTGAGGAATTTGCTCGCAGATATCTCAACTGCACTGTTTTTCAAACTGTGCGGACCTCCACACCCACCACCCACCCTCCACTTCCTCTCTTTGGCTCCCTGCACTGGTGCATCCTCTTCCTGAGGTGGAGACCCCCCCCTCCTCCCCCAAATAAAGAAAAAACCTCCCCTTCCACAACTCCCTTTTCCAGGGACCCTTCGTTTGCAGTTCCTAAAAGTAGTTTTTCTTTCCCTATCCTGTGGGAGGCGCAGCTTCAAACTTTCTCTCATAAATTTTCCCAAGACAAAAAAAGACAGCGACTGTATTCGAAATCTATTAGTGTGTTATGTAGTGAGTTGGCCATTTTGAAGAGCTGTTCTAAAGTACAGTGAGTAGAAGTGAACCCGTCTATACATTATGCATCCCACAGTCCCTCTTGAGAAGTAGTCAAATCAAATACCCATGACGCATTCCACCAATTCAGAAAAAAACAAACTATTGTTCATTTTTAACTTACGCTAACAAAATCAATTAAAAATAAGTGTCTTTGAAGTAAGCAGAACCTCCGGAATGAGACAACATAATGTGCACAGCGATATTGACGTGATTATGCCAACGCTAACCGTTTGTTGTTTCAACAACAGGGATGCTTCAATTCAAATTTAAAAAAAAAACAAAACACATACTGTTTTCTGAAAATGTTACATTGTGACCAAGGAACCTCTTATATTAGGCTAACGATATGGCCGTAGATCTGGTACGTTGGCAGCAGTGACTACTACCTTAGCTATTTGCATTAGCTGCTAGCTAGCTGATTGGTGAGCTTTGATGTGACACCTAAAACTCGTACCATTTCCGAGCTAGGACTATAATGATAACAATATGTTGATATTGAGTAGTAGAAATGAAAAAAAAAATGGCACAAAGTCTCTCTTTAAGTAAGCCAGCGCGACTCACACAAACTACTCCGACCGGAAGACTGCGCACTAGTTCAGTTGAGAAGAGGGGTGAGGTATTGGGTGGTTCAAACCATTTTTGAGCAAAAAGGGTGAATGCTATACTTTTGTTCATAAACTTATTACGTTTCTACCAAGTGCCGTATGGTTCTAACACTTTCCTGACTTATTTAAATAAATAAATGAATAAAATTTTGTGGGTACTTGGATTTACTTTAAGGGTGCTTCAGCACCAATGAAAAATGAGCTGTACACTCTCCTTGCTTGACCCAAGCAGGCTTTCCAAACACAACTGATTTACATGCTTCAAAATGGAGGAAGCTCTGTACATCATGAGTCCGAAATAGAGCGGGAGAGAGTGAAGGGGAAAGGGTGGTGGGGAAGAAGGGTGTTGACGAGGAAGGGTGGCGGTCACACTCACTCCTGCAGTGTCTCCACGCCCATTTCCTTGTACTGCAGCTCCTGCCTCACCTGGGCCAGCTCGTGCTTCAGTCGGGAAAGCTGCAAAGGTCACAAGACAAGGACGGGTGGGGTTGAGGTGGGAGGGGGGGTGGGGGTCGAACATTAGGCTTCCTCTCGCCTCAAAATGCATAGTCATCAATATCCCAGCCACTGGCCGCACACCATTTTTTTCAATAAAGTAAGAGACCATTCTCTTATAAAAAAAATAAAAATATACATTAAAATAAAAAATCATAAAAAAATCAAAAAAAAAAACCATCAATGTAAAAATAAATAAATATCACACACACACACACACACACACACACACACACACTTTAATTATAGTACGGTAAATAAATAAAAATACCCCCAAACCTCATATGATTAAATGGAATTAAATAAATATAAATACAAGAAGAGAAAAAGCGGTGGAACGCTTTTGATGGCGCCGCATGTCAACGTGATCGCCATCCGTGTCATTTCATTATTCGATGGAACGTTTTTTGTTTTTTTTCGGGAGGGGTGAAACGACTGGCAAGCACGCCGGCATCATGCGGATTGCGCTATCCAAATGAGAGGGGAATGGAGCCGTACCAGCTGTCATTCCCCGGGAAAGACGTACCTCAAAATGTATGATGCATGCTAAATAATATGCAAAAAATGGTAGTGTACAAACTATTAAATATGAAGTAAATATGATATATTACATATTTCAGGATGTTAACTATGAGATATGGTCATTAGAATTGTATGGAAGCATAAAAATGCTGCAAATATGGAACATTACAGGCCCTTAAATATGAATGCATTTGAGTTGTATAGCCCATCCAATTCCATTTTAAATATAAACTAGGGTTATATAGCATGTTAAGGTTTAAATAATGTACACTGGAGTTGTATAGAATATGAAATGCGTCACACTTGTACATTTGTGCATTAACCTTGAAGTAAATATACGGTCAATTGAAGTTGTAGATTATTATATTATATGAAACGTCGCGCTAATATGCTAAGTTAGAGTTGTACAGAACATTAAATCTGGTGTAAAGATGCGACATTAGAGTCGTTATAGAATCCAAAATATGATCTGACTCGCCTCTCTCTGACCCTCCGAAGGTGAGCTCATCCTCATTCTCAAGAGGCCCGCCGGGCCCTGAGCCACAGTATCCTGTCGGGGCAACACCCCGGCTGCCCGGCAATCCCTCCACCGCCCCCCTCTGCCCTGACGGCAGGCCATTGTTCTCCCATGATAATGACTCACCCGCTCTCGCCTACAAGCCACTTCCACTTTGATTTGGTCAGGGTCATATTTCGCGCCTGAGGATGAGCCGGAGAGCGCTGTGAACACACAAAGGTGGGGGGGGGGGTGGAAGAGGCGGAGTGAGTGGTGGCTTGTTGGCGTGTGCGGAATCTGAGGTGAAGATGTAACAGGAATACACCAAAAAAATAAGGCGGAGGTTCTGGTGTTCCGGCTGTACTCTTGCCAGGCAACTTGGTGTGAAAAGGACTGTAGAAATGGCACCGATATGGAATGGTGGTACAAAGTAAATCTGACAATTTTCCACCTTCAGAGGTAGTATCACAAGCTCCTTTCATAGTGCCTGTAAAATTGGCATTTTCACCTTTTTTTTCATGTCAGTTTTATATCAAAGTCACTGACACGGAATGAGGGAGACAAATTCGACCCAGGAATTTTCCGGTTTCGAGGTAGTAAGTGAATGAAGCCCCTTTCACACTGCATTTTTCCACCTCTTTGTGTCATGTTTCTGTGACCCGGAAATTTTTCACCTGCAGAGGTAGTAACAGAAGTTTTAACGTCTACAAAAGCCGTCATTTTGCCGTTCTTTCTAAAAGGCGCCGACATGCACCGGAGGGGGTGTTGGACCACGCCGGCGTCTTACCGCAGCTTGCGATGGAACGGCTGTCCTCGGAGAGCTCGTGGAAGAGCAACATTTCGCGCTGGGCCAGCTCCAGTCGCTGCTGCTTGACCAGGTACATCTCCTTCTTGGCTCGGAGGGCCTCCTGCGCCACCACCAGGTACTCCTTCAACATGCGCTCCTGCTCCTGGCGCCATTGGGTGCGCGGGTTCTCGATCTGCGTGGTCTCTGAGGGGAGGCACAGAGGACCCGTCGAGTACACTCATCAGTAATACTTGTTGCCACAGAGAAAGAGAAGATGTCGCTGCCCGGCAGTCCTTAAAGGAGCAGTTTTTTGAAAGGTTGTCCTTTCTCTTAGTAGGGATGGGCGAGTACCGATACCAGGTATCGTTTTGGACCGATACCGGGTCATCGTGAAGTATGCCGATACCAGCCAACGATACTTACGGCAAAAAACATCTCTCATTGAGTAGTTGTTGCTACACTGTGGCCGTTTGAAACATTGGTGAAGCATGGCATGTGTCAGAAAGCTAGAATGGTCTGGTTCAAAACGAGCCGTCATGATGTTCATTGAAATTCTTTGTATCATATTGGTGTATCATAAGTGTTGGTATCATTTTCAGTGAGTGCTCAAGAGTGAATACTCGTACCGGTATCAGTCTGACAAAAAGTGGTATCAAACATCTGTAACTGTTAGCATTATACGGTATGTTAGCAAAAGGGCTGCAACTAATGAATCAAATACAAAAAGAACCAGGATTAAATTTCCTTCCCTTTATTCCAAAAAAGGACATTCTTTCAAATTAACAGTGCCAAAAACATAAAATGACTTTGATTGAAGTAGAAGTTTATTCTATATTGTCTGGAATGATCGCCAGTGATGAACATGGTTCGCCGTATTGCTCGGTGAAGAGGACAGGAAGTGGAGCGACGCTTGCCGACCGGTGTCGGGTACTCACTGTTGATGTGGTCGATGTAGTAAACCCCGACTTGCTGGTCGTAGACCTCCTCCCAGCCCAGGGGCAGCTCATCTCCGACGCAGTCGGCAAAAGTCAGCGGCTTGGTGATCCTGAACGTCAAAGCGGAGCAGCATTGAAACGAATCGATCAATTGATTGATACATGACACCTATTTTTATACAATTTTTTTTAAAAAGTGGTACACGCAATTTCAGATCGACACTCCAGCACTGTCACAGACTTAGCGCACCCGCTGTGTGTTTTCAGTTTGGCATTTGCAAATCCACATGAATAAAGGTACTGTATTGCTTTGTCGCCATCTTACAGCATCTTGATGTCAAGGATCTATGTTGAAGTAAATTTAGGAATTTCACTTGCGGATTATTAAAGTAGTTGTCTTTAACTTTTAGGTTCAATGCATTTGCATTTAATGTCTTTTTTTTTCGGGGGGAGTACCAATACCTGGAATCAGTATTGGACCGATACCAGCCATATTATTTTATGGTATCTGTACTCTTGCAGATACTCATTCTAATCTGCAAAGGTTGAACCGAGGCAACTGAACTCGTTCGTAGTTTTTTTTCCCGTGTTTACCGAAAAGTTCCAAAAATGACTTCAACACCAGGAAACGACAAGGTGTGAATTCATCGCGTGTCAGCCGTGTGATTGACAGGTGAAAGCGCACACACACCGACGACGACAAACACCTCATTTCAAGTGTTTGCCAAAGGTAAACACACTCAAGTCATGTCTGCGCGCGCACACACACACACACACACACACACACACACACACACACACAAAAAGGGATGTAGGAGGAGAAAGAAAAGTGCACACACACCGACGACGACAAACACCTCATTTCAAGTGTTTGCCAAAGGTAAACACACTCAAGTCATGTCTGCGCGCGCACACACACACACACACACACACACACACACACACAAAAAGGGATGTAGGAGGAGAAAGAAAAGTGGTTCAATTATGGCGGCTTGTGACAGTCTGGCCATTTGTGTTGTTCGGTATATCCACACGTCAACTTTATTATGACACCATTATTTAATAAGAATTATAATAAGTGTGTATTTTTCCCCCCGCTCCCACGTTTCTCAGTTGATTCAAATCATGCCAACGTCAAATTCTCTTCAATCAGGACAGACAGGCGACTATTTTGCCCATTCCCACTTTTGCCTGAATTTGTCAGACCCCAGAAAAAAAAAAAATCCCCATAAACATTCCCGCAATTAACCCTTTCATGCACCCTGTAACCTGATAACATGATCAGCCGTCCACTGTAGTGATCGCTGTCCCTGCAAGGGTTCAGACGGGGTGTCAAACATATAGCCCGCGGTCCGGAACGGGCCCCCAAGGAGGTTCCACCAGGCCCGCAGGATAATTTAAAAGTGAAACAAGACATAAAAGGCACGGAATGAATATTTTTAAAAAGCTGCAATTCATGGATCATCCGCTAGGGGGAACACTGTTTTGATCAGAGTAGAAGACAACATTGTTTTGATCAGAGTAGAAGAAAACGGCAGTCTCAGTCTGTCACTGAGACAGACCCAACACAGCAGTAGAAACCAGCTACCTAATTGCTAGCGAAATAGCATTAGCATCAAAGCCGTATTCCGACGGTGACTTTGTTAAACGATGCACAATGAAGGCGGCTGAACTTGTATGTCCCGACAAGCGACAAGCTTTTGCCAACAAAGGAAATACATGATATTTTGGTTATTTATAGCAGAGTATGGTATAATCTTAATGGTCCGGCCCAATTGACATCTACCGAGGCCATATGTGGCCCACAATGTCAAATGACTTTGACAACCCTGGGTTAAGACATGCAAAAAAAAACAAAAAAAAACTGCCCATCTTTCTCATTCCAAGTTGAAACTGTTCAGCTGGTTCAGACCATCCTGGGAAGGATTTTCCTCGAACCCGCACATTCTCACAATTCCACACTTGACAGTCAAATTCCCAAATGAAGACATTTTGGACACATTTAGCTCCTCCTCTCGCAGTTCTTGACAGATATTCAAACTATCGCAACTCCAAGATCATTTCAGAACATCTTGGAAACTGATTGCCAACCCATTGCCCAATTTCCTCCATTTTAAAACAAACACAAAAAAAAAAACAACAACGCCAAAATGATACTCCGAAGCGCGCCCCCCCCACCCCACTCTTCATTTCGACAATTGAAAGAATTCCCCAGCATTTCAAGCTCTCATGCAGTCGCCACAGAAATTGCATTCTCTAGTTGTTGTTCAACGTCACTGTCTTGGGGGGGAGATATGTCCGCTCGCAGATTCTAATCGTGCCACATGTGAATGTTTGCTTTGTTCGGCGGTCTTGTGACAGCGTGGTCACTTCTGCCTCGCAAACACACACACACACGCACACGCACACGCACACACACACACACACACACACACACACTTGTAGACGCAGCAGAAAGACTTGTCATAGTGACACAGTTACCTTATAGACGTCATATTTAACGTATATAGTGTACTGCACATAGTCAGAACCAAATTTTGACAAATAAGTAGATCCTAAAATAATAGTCCATCAAGAAACCAAATCATATTTCATCAAACAAGCATGGGCAATAAATGTGAATAAAAATGTAACTAATCTTTTCTTTTTTGGGGGGGGGGTTAGTCTTTGACGAACGATACAGCAGTAGTTTAAAATGAAGTTATGTGTGTGTAGCATTCCGTGTCCACATTCTGCACATTGGCGTGCCGAATAAGAGTTTTCTGAAATTAGCTGAGGCAGACTGACAAGCATGTCCAGCTGTGGAACGACACTCTCGCACCTTCCCCGAAAAATATATTTGGTTGTCAAAAGACATTTGCTAATTCAAGAATAATCCATCCCGGAGGATATTTCCATCCCACGCCAACTGCCTTTTGCCCGGAGACGGCGCTGCCGCTTTAGTGGCGCAAGGGCAGATGACAGGCATGTGAAACTGAAGTCCAGGAACTCTCAAACATGCCGAATCTCTTCGGTTTTTGTTCTCCAAGAAATCTCATTCCCAAATAGAAATCGACATTTCCCCCCCCAAATTTTGATACGAATGAGCCACCCGGAAGTAGCACCCTGCTCCCCTCGAGCTCCTCCACGGAGGTCCGCCAAAAAGGCGACAAGTGGTGCCGGCCTCCAAATTCCATTGTGTGTTTAAAAAGGAAACGTGAAAACAACTTTAAGAGAAATGTCACTCACGCTCAGGCCCGCCGTCTGAGGCGGTGCTGGTGCAGGATTTCAGAGCGCGGCTTAAAAAGCAGCTGAGATCCAGACGGAATCTGCTTGTGCTTTTATGTGTTGAATCCGATGGAAATAGGCCTCCTAAAAGTAGAGTTAGCGTCTGGACGGACGTGAGGGAGGGGATAAGGCATGGGAGGGGGGGGTCAGCTGGGGGGCTGTATGTGGTGGGAATAAAAGTGTCACTGCGCTTATTTGGGCAGGAGAGTATAGGGTGGGTATGGCAAAAAGTTGCCAGGGTCATTCACTTGGTTGTAGCACTCCCGCTAACTAGCGTAGCATTGCAATCATGACTGTGATGAAATAAACCCCCCCCCCCCAAAAAAAGTGCAAAGGGGCCCAGTGAAAGAAGTACATCATTTTCATAAAGAGTCAAATTGCACGACTGTCTGCCTTATGTTTTGTTGTATTATTTTGTCATTTTATGTTAACTGTCCTTTTGATGGCGGCGCGGGCACCCGCAGCGGCTCCTTTCGCTCCTGTGGTTGAGAGGAATGACATTTCGTCTGTGCTGTATGTTGCACATGGAGCACATCTGACAATAAAGTTGATTTGAACTTGAACTTGAATTAGGCGCCACGGTAGGGCCGCAATTTTCCGGTAAATTTTGATGCCGCATTGTACTGTATATTAGGTCTGCAAATTAGGATTGTTTGAATAATCAATTAACCAACAGATTAATTGATGAATCAGATTTAAAAACAAAACAATCATTTAAATTGCCATCCCTTGATTAAAAATTGGGATTTTTTTCCAATTATTTGGAATTGGCAGGGCAGAAAATGTACAAATGCAAATTTATCCGTGTGTGTGTGTGTGTGTGTGCGCGCGCGTGTGTGTGTGTGTGGAGTTATATTGCACAGCTCTACAAACAAAGAAAAACCATTGGATCGACAGAATTGGAATCAGGTTGACTGCCCGAGATGCCGAGCAGAGAAAAAGTGTCGCGGTCACGACATTATTCAGTTTTTCAATAAGAATTGTGCACCAATGTGGAAACAATGGAGGCCCTGACAGCTGGCCGACTTTGGCATGTCCTGTTTAGGTTGCATTCTTCTGAGCAGAGCCCGTTCACGGACCACGGCGCGGACCGACACTCGGGCCTCCGTCACCGCTTGACTGCTCAATCCGTTTATGGGGGAAATAAAAACACTGCGGTGGCGTGACTTATAAGTTTCATTTGTTCACAGGACAAACGTGTAACTCCACTTTACTCAAATTCATTTCCCCCATGAATTGAAATGTCATTGATCCATTTCAGACTCCGCAACCCCAAAAAAAACTCCACAAAAAATAGTTTAAAGAGCATATGGATTATCTGATAGATCAAGTGTACGAGTATTGGATGTGTGAATTTCAGCGAGTGTGATTTCAGGAGCCTGAGTCGGGTTCGGTCAGCCAACCTGTCTGCGTGTGAACGTATTTTCATTTCCTATTTTGACTGTTTGTCCCGTTCAATAAACGGCTGAATGTGCAGCAGTGAACATGCCCCCCACCCCCATTTAACTTTATGACACTGACTGGACTAATGTCTGCCCCATGCTCCTTGTGAGTGTTTGCATTTAGCATTTGTGTCTTGGGCTGTTTGTCCCTTTGAATAAATGCCTGAATGTATATCAGTGAGTACGGTTCTCTCCCCTTTTTTTTTTTTTTTTTTTTTTTTTTTTTTTTTTTTTTTTGTGGCCGGGACTTGTTCATAACCAAAAAAGACAAAGCAACCGCATGACGGTCTAGTCCGCGTGTGAGAGTCTGGCTGTGAGTTGTGGGCTACAGCAGTTCATTGCAAATGTTTTCAATTTCTATTTGCGTGTTTGACTACTTTGCCGTGTCACAAAAATGGTTTGAAAGTATGTATGTATGTCTATCCATTTATACTTTTACTCCAATAGAAGTTAGTAACTAAACTCATGCTCCATGCGGCACGTCAGACAACTTGCTTGAAAGGCAAATTGTGGCTCGTAAAAAAAATAATAAAAAAAAAAAACAACAACAAAATTGTGATTTGGGGCTCTCAACAGCTAAGGTACCCATCCATCCATCCTTTTTGTGATCCGCTTATCCTCACAAGGGTCGCGCAGTCAAGGTACCACTGTACTTTAGTCAGCTGATTCCAAAAATAAAGAAAGAAAGAAATAATAAAGCACACGGGCCAAATGATACGGCGCTCAAGCGACGGCGTGTTGGTGACGCCCCCTCTAAACACATAATGAAAACACTGTGGGAAGCAAAATAAAAGCGGGGTTCAGCGCATGTGAATAACCTCTGGGCGCCTGCGAACACAGCTCACCCTTTCCAGAATAATTGAATTTGGTGTGCTTTGTGCCCCAGCATAATGGCCTGCCTTTGCCGGGCGTTGGGTTGCATAACACAGCTAATCGAGGAGGCCTGCCGGGACGGCCCATGGACACGTGGGAACACCCACCCACCCCCCACCCCCACCCCGTCCTCGCCCCCCACAGGCCACTCCCCCCTACGCCCGTTTCTGACGCTTTGTCTGAGACCGTGAGCAAAGCGCAGCCCCTGGGCTGTTCGCGTTAGACATGCCGAGCATGACGCTCATTCCAGTGGAACAAAAAAGCCCCGGGCGGCGGCGCGAGGCGACGGCGGCATCCCCCGAGCGAACCGAGACCCCAAATGTCCTTTGAGACAAGACCATTTTTCATGAAAATATACTTTGCGCAGGACAGTCAAGTGAGACAAAAAGCCAAAGGGAAAAAACGTAAAGAGAGAGTGGCGAGAGCTCGCAAATAAATGGATTCCTTTTATGAGGCTTTTTTTTTTTTTTTTATCCAAAAAGACAAATATTTGTACATTTTTATGGGACAACTAATTTTTATTTTGTCACATTTCATGTATTTCTTTTTAAGTCATAAAAATTCGAAAACAAAATACATGTATATTTTAAAATGTAATTGTATTTGTATTCGTAATTTTAATATTATTTATTTATAGAGATTTCAAGTTTTTGTTTGATTTTATTTTAATGAATTAATAAATCTAATTTTATATTTCGGTCATTATTTGTATTTTTAATTAATTTCCATATCATTTAAACCTATTGGCTTATTATAATTTATCTTAAAAAAAACATAAATATTTAGAATATAGTACATACAATTACCTAATAATTTATTGACAAATAAATATACAAAATGTTATTTTGGGTTTTATTGCCATTTTACCAATTCATTCATTTTATTATATTTATTTTTAAAATACAACCCAAAATGTTTTCATGTTTATGCCATTTTATTCATGGAAAAATACATGACTATCATTCAAATGTATGAAAAATCATCATCAGTGGCTAAAGAGGTGTCTATTGTATTTTGTCTTTTTTTTTTTAAATAAAAATTCCTAAAATATGAATAGCAAATTTCAATTAAATAATTGTTCGAATGTATTGTACTTCTATTCATGAAAATCCTCAAATATTTAAAAAAAAAAATGCTTTTTTGTTTTATTCACTTCATTTACTCACTTGTATCATTTTTATTCAATTTCTTTTTAAAAATCTTTAAATATTTAAAAATATATTTTCATTAGGAGTACATGTCTCATTATTTTCTTTATTTATATTGATGAAAATCCTCAATCATTACAATTTATTTTTGGAAACATTTACCTGATTGATTCTTATTATTTATGTATATCCGCAAACATTTAAACAAAAATGAAAAGAATACAAGAATTGGAACATGCTTAAAGAGTATATTTATTTGAGGAATCTGTTTTGAAGTGGTCTCAATTGGTCTGGCCTCACACGCAACCCTGAGAAGGTAAACACACTGAGGAATCTCGTCTGTGTTTGGGAGGAATCGCTTTTTCGCGCCTTAATGCAATTTTTGGCGACATGCTGTGAGCTCACGCACACATCCAGCCAGCCAGCCAGCAAGCCAGCGAGCGAGCGACGAAACGTCGACCCGAGGCAGGCCGACATGTGGCGCGCCACATCACGAATCACGACGGCCATTGACAATTATGCTTGGCCTTCAATGGCTCTTGTGTTTTTAGCCAGCGGGCCAGTCAGCAGACTCCCGGCCTCGCACTCATCAGGAGACCAATCCCACTGTCCTTTCCGACTCGTATTATTTTTCGCCACATAGTTGATGCTGGTTTGTTGCCATTTAAATGCAGTCTGCTAATCCGCCTTGGTTGATTTTCGAGATACCGGCCATCGGTCCACAACAAGTGGCAGGTTGGCAGAGAGTGAACGATTCATCAAAAAAAGTGGCTTCAAGTTGTTTCATGGCACTCCCTGTGGAGGTTTACTGTCAAACTAAACGTCAAACAAAGAGAATTACACATTCTCAAAGACAATCACATAAGCCTGTTTAGCTTTAGGCTAAGAAACAATGTAAGAAGTCGTAGATGGACTCCCGAATAACATCCATGTTGTGGTGTTATAACCCTTGAAGCAACATATGCTTAAACACAAACGGTAAAGCAACATATGTGGACCGCCGATATCACAACACTCCCGGGTATTCATGGGCGGATCCCGGCTTTTGTTGTTGAAAAAAAAAAAAAATCAAGGTCAACTCAATATGGTACACATTTCTTCTGGACTAAATATTCCATCCAAAGAAATTATATTTTTATTTCCTCAAATATTTAAAAAAAAAAAGGTTATTTTAGAGCTGTAACTTTAAGATCGCAATATTTCTGCTCGTGGTCAACATGCCATCGGAATCTAATATCAGCTCATGCCTAGACAACGGGCAAATGTATTCTTTATCATCTGCAAAGAACAACTATTATTACTGTCGTTTACAGAGGAATTTTGACCGTCTCCATATACTGTATGTATTTAGTTCTGTTTTTTGTGCGGCGTTTTTAAAAAGTACAAAATGATAAGAGTGCTACAGTATTTTCCTTATTTGAAAACAGACAAAATTTCGAGAGAGGCTGGAACAAGTTAACAGCGCTTTAATTCATTTGCGTTACAAGCATGGTCACAGAACAATATTAAACTTGTGAGTTAACGTCCCACGAAAAGTTACATGGCTTGCTTTACTAAAAACAAACCCCAAAAAGATGGTGGGTTTTTTTTTTTTTGGGAGGGCTCGAACAGATGAACAACACTATTTCATTTCAATGCGGTGAATGAATTTGCGACACACGTCAATTGAGCTTTGATCTTTGTCTTGGAGTGAGCTAAACTTGTAAGTCAAGTCACCCCAATGTCAATACACACTTCTGATCGGATAGTGTCAAGCAGCACGAACTGCAGGCGGGCACCAAAAGAATGTTTGGAATTTTCGCCATCCGTCCATTTTCTACAGCGCTTATCCTGTTTAGGGTCACGGGAGGCAGCTGGAGTCTATCCCAACTGACTTAGTCTAAGAGGTGGGACGCACACCCTGGAGTGCGGACCCGTCAATCATGGGACTGGCACACAACTATTCTGACCGAGTGCAAAAGAAACTGCTCAGCCACAATGCTTACTTACAATACAAATTTATTTCCACCTCAAACTGTCTCGCCTGCTCCTCTTTTTTTTTTTTTCCTCGCTCATGCCTCTAAGACCTCTGAGAAAGGTTTTGGGAAGACGATGTACCCACAGTCGTTTGCCTTTGTCAAGTAAGAAGGGCTGGTCGGAGGTTGATGTGATCACAGACTGAGGTGGATGGCTGATGCTGGCAATGTCGCGGGCCAAGTGTCGATACCATTTTATTCAATGAGTGAAAATTAAATGAATGACTTTGGAACGTATTAAAAATTAGAGACTGAACATGATTTGGGGATGATTTTTCATTCCCACTCATATTCACATCTGTGGACAATTTCAAGTCTTCAACGGCAATAACATGCACTCCAAGCATGGAAGAAGATGCAAACTCCACTTTTTTTTAGATTCTGAGCTCAACAAAATCTGTATTCTTCATTCACCCGGCAACAGAGGGAGACAGAACCACCACCCCCCCAACACAGGCTAAGACATAGGATACAAATATTGTTATACCCCTTGATCCTATGGGTATTTCTGAGCAAGACGTGTTTTTAAGACAACCGGGAAATGTTTTAAATTGTGGGGGAAAAAAAAGCATAATATTCTTCCTTTCAAATTGCCCGGTTTAAAATTCCCGATCAATCCCTCAAAAGTGAGTGCTCGGTGAATTCCCAGTCCCCGGTGGAGGCGCGCATCCTCCCCACGGCTTTTCCCAGCGGCCCAACTTTAGCAACATTCCTGGCATAGTTTCGCCTGGATTTCTGGGAGATGGAGTTTTCACGCCAACACACGCACGCGCATACACACTTACAAAAGTGGTCGTCAGAACGCGTATTTGGTTGGACTGGAAAGGATGGATTGGAAATAAAGCACATAGAAAAGGGGATAACAATAGCGTGAGGCGAGAGACGCTGGAATGCTGCAGGTCATTGGAAGTCACACACGCGCGCGCACACACACACACTCACACAAACACACGCACACAAACACACGCACACACACGATGGGAGTGCGTAAAAGCGAATAGAGATCACTGTTTAAAACATGTAAAATGTCACTTTTAGGAAGTCAAGACAGGCAGTGGGGTGAGCAGCATTTAGGGTGACTGGTGATGGGGGTTGCTAATCTACGTCAACTCCTCTCCGTTGGAAAAAAAAAAGCAACAACCCAAAAAAATCCCCCAAAGCATCATTCTGTCACTTATTCTTTTCAAATAAAATGTGTGAAATGACGCTTTCAAGTCTCTTACCTATCTCTGGGGTCTATCCACGAAGTTTGCCGGGTGTTGTGGTCGATGAAGAACACTCTTCCGTCGTAGTCTCGGGCTTCCTCCCATCCGGCGGGCAGCGGTAGCTCGGAGCTCTCTCGCCGCTTGCCGCCGCCTCCGCCCGGCCACGGCATCGCGGCTGGCCGCCGCTGCTGAGCGGAGGGCTCCAGCCCCGTTGCTTCTTTCCTTCCTTCGTTGTCGTCGTTTGCTCTCACTCTCTCCCCACGCCGGCCAACCAGTCGTTCCTCTTCACCGCATCGCGCCCCAACGGTAGAAATGAGCAAAGTTTTCGGTTTACAAAGAAGGAGGCGGCGGTGGTGACGCTCTCACGGTGCTCTCGCCTCCATGTTGGCCTGCTCCCTCCGCCACCATGTTTCATTCCTCCGCGTCCTTATTCGGGCCCGGGGTGGATTTGCATAAACGAACGGACGAGCGAGGCGAACTTGGCCCTTCTGTCCAATCCCCTCCTCTTGTCTGCCTCCTCCGTGTCCACTTTAAAACAGCCTCACTTCGAAAAAAAAAAAGGGAAAACATTATTTATTTATTTATTGAAAAGTCGGTCACTCGACTTTGTCTTCATGTTTTATTATTTCCACTAAACGTTTTTGATTCGTGACGTTAAACTCAGGTAATTCACTTAAATGGTCATTTTGTTGACTGTTTCGACCATTTAAAGGAAGATTAATCCTAACTCGGTCAAAAAGTTTCCCCAAAACAAACAAGTTTTCCCTCCAGTACAAACTGTGAGGGCTTGAAATTGTTGTTATACATTGGCGGCACCTAAGGCAAAATGTGTGTATTGCACCTAACACCGAGTAAAATGATGTCATCCACCGTTCGCGTTTTTAGAAAATGCTTTGTTTGAATTTTGTTTTTTTTTTTTGCTTTTTAGTATTAATTTTGAGTTTTTTTGCGGGTTATGGTTAGGCTAACCATTTTTTAGTTACAGTATTCCATTATTCGTTAACGATTATAACCTTGGTGAAAATACGGTTGAGCGATGCTATGATCTCGTCGCGTTTCGTGATCGCGATAAATTTCCGGTCGAACATGGTGATCAGCAGTGAGAATATCTACTCAGTCAAGCTTGAAATCGGAGTTGACCTTTCCATTTTGGTTTTTGGTGTGTGGTAATTTGTCTCATTTTTTGTTTATTTAATCTGTAAAACACATTAAAAAACCCGATTTGCCGTCACACCCCTTCCCCAGTACGGCTTTTTGAATACTAGACTTCTTGGAGCCTCTCAAAAATAGCCAATGCTGACATCTGTTGGTTGGAGTTAGACATTACACCATATGAACAGCAGCATAGGTTTTCCCCCCTTCCTTATTTTTATACATTTGTGAGTACAGTAATGTTGAGGAATTGTTCTTTTTTTTCCATGTTTGTCTGTTTTATTTTTTTCAGCGATTGGCTGCCAACCAGTTCAGGTGGTTCCCCGCCTACTGCTCGAAGGGAGCTGGGATAGGCTCCAGCACACCCGCGGCCATTGTGAAGATGAGATCCATCAGAAAATGGATGGATGGATCGTGCTTCATATGTTGATATAATTCACTAACTTGTGTTTATTAAAAATAAATGGTGTTAATAACTGAGATACCGCGATAGGAACAATTATATACTTTCTTTTTTTTCTTTTTTTTGTCATGTCGCTCAGCCCGAGGTGAAAATGTGATTTTTGTTCGTGCAGTACACGGTTGTGAAGACCTCACGATTAGTGGCGTGCAAAGCATCGTTGCTGTCTGGATTTCCAAGTGCAAATATCTGTTCTCAAATGTAGGAAATAAAAGGATAAAGTGGACAAAAAAAACTCAATGAGACTACAGATAACTGAGAATTCTACTTAAACAAAGTTAACAAGTATTTTTATTTGACTACTTACCACCACTAGTGTGTGTGCGCGCGCGCGTGAATGAAAGAGAGAGAGAGAGAGAGAGAGAGAGAGAGAGAGAGAGAGAGAAAGAGAGACGTCATAGCAGTCAGCTGAGCGTTTGTTCTCCACCTGAGGGGGAGTTTATCCCTGATTTTTATCTCCTGCATAGTTTATGTGTGTGTGTGTGTGTGTGTGTGTGTGTGTGTGTGTGTGTGTTTTACATCCCATCCATCTCACATCAACTCTGGGATGTACTGCCTCCTCCCACAGATCCTTTCTCACAGGCCACGTCACGCCCATATGAACACATCACAATAAGCCGCAGTGTTTGCAGCCTGTCGACAATGTTCATTTAAAAAGGAAGCACGATTTGGACATTTTCAGGAAAAAATGTGCTTCATAAATTCAAGAAAGCTAGATGCTGTGTTTTTATCTCGGCGCAATTTCGCAGACGAGCGCAGACCAGGCAAATCAGTGAGTTGTGTGGAACTGTGGGAGTGGTCACATCGGTCACATCGGTCTTGAGCTTTCACTGTACCCTGCACAGATTCAAGACACCCTGTGCTAGATGGAGCAAAGCAGACCCAAAACATAACAGAGCTCGGAAGAGTGTTTTTGTTGGGGTTTATTTTGCTATACTTCATTTTTGCGTCTGTGTACATAGCGCTGAACACTGACTGCTTACAAGTTTGAAGACACGTGTGATGGTAATTAGAGGACACACTTTGGTTTCTTCTTTCTAGGCTCAAATTATTTTTAATCTTTTTTTGGGGGAACCATCAATTTTGTCTGGACGTTTCATTCGGGGTTTTTTTTTGTAGTTTTCATTATTTCTTTAAAATTGATTACGACTTTTATGATTTTCTTTAATTAACAGTGGGGTACAAACCAAGTGGTGGCACTTTTGCTCCCTCTCCGGAGAAGTCAGCAGCTTTGCCCCCGCTGCCCATTGGCACAGGGAGCAGGGAGGGCCACAGAGGGGAGGGCTGTCCCCCCCTGCTCGCCTTCCTCCCTGCCTGCCTCCCTCCAGTAGAGGATGAGCTCTCCTCCGAGTGGCAGCACTTGGTGCCAGGAGCTCCAGGGCCCTCCAGCCTCTTAGCAAAGCACCTCTCGGTCAAGCCAATGGACGAGTGTGCCCGCGTCCTGGAGCTGCTGGGCATGCTGCTGTACGTCGGCGCGTGGCTGTGCGTCCTGGGGGCGACCGTTTCCCCGCGCTGGCTAAGCATGTCCACTTCCCTGCTGCCCGTGGAGAGCTACGAGCTGGGCCTGTGGGAGACCTGCGTGGTCCAGGACACGGGCGGCATGGAGTGCCGGGCCTACGACAGCATGCTGGGCCTCTCGCCAGATCTCAAGCTGGGCCGCGTGCTCACGTGCGCCTCCCTGGCAGTGGGCGCCCTGGGCTTCCTGGTGGCCATCCCCGGCGTGTCGCTGGTCAACGGGTGCGAGGAGGACGGCGCCAAGAGGACGTTGGGCACCACGGGCGGGTTGCTGGGGATGCTCTCCGGGGTTCTGTGTTTGATCCCCGTCTCTTACGTGGCCCACGTGGCCGTGGTGCGCTTCTTCGACGACACGCTGCCCGACGTGGTACCGCGCTGGGAGTTTGGCGACGCCCTGTTCTGCGGATGGGCGGGAGGATTCCTCCTGGCGGTGGCCGGACTCCTCCTGGTGCTCGCCTCCCGCTCAGCCGGCCGAGAGCCGCCCCCTGTGGCTGGGCCGCAGAGGAGGTACCAGGTGATGAACACGGTGCTGGCCCGGGCCGAGTACGTATGAACGCGAATCACAGGAAAACATCGTAATCAAGCATTAATCAACATCTTTCACTTTTGACATGAACATAGAGAGGGAAATATCCCAATAGAAGCTGCTGTCATCTGTAAAAATGAATGAAGTGTGTTTTGGTCCTGTGTCAATGGCATATTTTCCAGGTGGCGCTCAAGCTAAAACTAGATTGTGTATGATATGTTTATGTGCTCTGTGATCTTAAAGAATCATATCATGTCTCCATTTTTTTTTTTTTTTGGTAGCATTGTATTCTTCCTGTGTCAGTGAAATGTTTCTAGGTGGTGCTTGAGTGAAAATATCCAGATTGTAAAATGAGCACTAAAAGCGTACATTGTAGTATAATTTGTTTTACGTGCTGAGTGATCACAATAAATCATATCGAGTTGACATGTGTTAGTCATCGAAATATTGTTTGCACTCTATCGGCGGGATATTTTCTTGGCGGGGGCTGAAGCTAAAACTATTGTGTATTATTGTTTTCGTGCTATATCATCATAAAGAATCAGATCATGTGCCATTGTGTGATAACGTTACATTTTTGCTCGATCAGTGGAACGATTTCCAGGCAGAGCTCGAGTTAAAATATTCTGCTTGTAAAATGTGCTTATTTGTTTTATGTGCTGAATGATTCAAATGAATTATTTTAACGTTACGCGAGTCATTTAATCATTGTTGCAACAGTATCAACGCGATTATGAATCGCGATCGTCGGGTAACGGGATTGGGAAGTGAGCACGAAAACTGTACATTATACAATCGTTTGGTAGGTGTGAAGAATGATCATAATTATATCACACAGACATTTAAACGTTTGTCCATCTTCTATACAGTCTTGGTCCTCTACCAGTGGGAGGTTTTCTAGGCTGCGCTCAAGTTAAAACTGGATATTGTTGTATAATAAGAGTTAATCAGCAGTATGATCGTAACCAAAGCGAGCACACTTTCCTCCGCTTCCGATTGGCTGTCAGTCACTCGGACCCCGCCGTCTGTTTTGCCGTTGTTGGAAACGCAGCGTGAGTCTAATTCCATCGCATTTCCTGCTCGCCGGCCCAGCTAAGCTGCGTTTAATGAACGCCTTAATGGGCGGCGCGCACTGCGAAGAATGCGGTGCAGGTCGCCCTCCTTCTCCCCCGCTTTCACTTAATTACATGGCTTTGCCAAATGGTCAGAGGCCACCGGCGTCACTGGAAAGCAACGATCGCACAAACATACAACATGTGGCGTTTGCTCTCATCAGAGGAGGCTAATTGACCTTTTCATAATGTTTGGAAACAACGGGAGATGGCTTTTTTTTCTCGGATGGGAGAAAACGAGTGACTACGTCGCTGATTTGAAGTGAAAATATGACAAAACATTGTTGTTTTTGGCCTCGCGCTGCCACGTCAAGGTTTCGTTTTTATTTGGTACATTTTCCTCCCCCTCAAAAATATAAATGAATTCAGCGGAATCTGTGGTTGAGGAGGAGAAAACAAGTGGATGTCCTAAAGAGTTGTAAACCTCGCGAATAACACAGTAGACACTTCTCAAGGGACAGAAGGAAGACATTTTCCCCATATTAAATTACGCGATGAGTAATTTGAGAAAGCACATTAGCTAGCCTTTGAGCTAGCATCTCCGCTATAGCACAGCATCCATTAGCCAGTTCCCCAATGATGATGTAAATTCTATGTGTATTTTCTAATCAATTTACCTGTTGAAATGTACATTTCAGCCGGTATTCCGTCTCCCTTGGTAGCAATTCAACTCACTTGACATCATTTCGATGAACACGTCACACATTAAAATGACTGTGGTAGAGAAGAAGGCAAAAAATAATCATTCAAGCCAGTTAGCTTGTTTTCTCAATGGCTCTGCTTTAGTCATATGTCATTTAAGAGTTTGTTCGTTTCTGAAGCTTAGTTTAGACAACATTGGATCTTATTAGTCCCTCCAGTCATTCCGTCAGCACACGAGAGCCTATTGAAGAAATAATGACAGACCTGGAAAGCTCGAGTCAAGAGCTTTAATTTCAGATGTTACTTGACCTGGTTTGTCACAAATTGGTTTTGATTGGTTGACCAGAGAAAAATGTGTTCCGGCCAATTTTAACGAGCAAAACATGTCTTGACTCTTTGGGGAGTACACTGCATTTCATTTTAATTTTACTGGATATGTTTTGTAACATTATTCAATAGTTATTGTTTCTAAACTGCTCCGTATTGATGGGATTGCCACGTGAGAGTCATGGTATGAAGAGAAAGTCCCCACTGAAGGCTCATCGACCAAATATTCAGCCCGCGACTGAGTGCAATATGGATGTGACTGTTGTCGTCAGCGCTACAGTCATCCATTTGTAATTTATTGGGGCATTTCTAATCAGAGATAAACTGGAAAAAAAAAGTAGCTAGATGACTGTATTACTTGAAGGGTATAATATGACCAGGAATGATCTCCATTAGTGCAGATTGGACACAAATAGACGTCTATTAGCAGGGTGCACATCTTACCCGCTGAGTTTGGGCAGCAGGGGGGAAAAACACACACGCACACACACGAGATGTTGTTTGGGATTATTAGTCCCCCGCAGGCTCAGAAAATGGCCTCCCGCTTACATGCACTGAAACACAAACAAATAAAAGCTGCTGGAAGAATGAAGTTCCATAATCCGAGGTGGCAAAATACGCTGTACTTCAGTAGAAGTACAGATTTTTTTTTTTTAAAGACTCTTGCAAAAGATGAGTGAAAGCAGAAGTACTGATTTCAAATCCTTTACTGAAGTAAAAGTGAAAAAGTAGAGATCCTGAAATGTGCTCTAAAGTTTTTTTAAAGCCTTTGAATAATGAGCCGATTTCGACAAAATAAGGAATCAAAAGTACAGATATCGTTAAAAAGTCGTCAGGAAAATAAATCCTGGAGTGTAGCACAGATATTCAAGTACCCTACCGCTGCCTACAATGACACTTAAAAAGCACAATAGAAGACCTGACATGAAAACTGACCATTACAATCAGAATCCTTTATCTCCGTGGGCAGTAAAACATTGTCGTAAAAGATTCAAGATGGAAGATTTGATACGATAAATATCAGTTGGGGTTCAGAGATCACATTTTTATCACCGTCACAAATCTTGTGGGCTTATTGCGGGAAAGTCGAGTACACGTGAAAGATCACATCACGCAGTATTGCTTGGACAACCAGTTACAAAACACATCGACATAGTTTTTAAACTGAACTGATTTCTTTTCTCTGAATTATTTTTCAAATATACTTTTCTTGCTAAAAGTTTCATGAAAAAATATTAATGTAAAATGTATGTATTCTAATGGAATAGGTTTAAACGTTTCACCAGATTAAAAAAAATGTTATTTTTATTATTTCAAATATCATATTATATATAATCAAATATATATTTTTGTTTTTTTTGGGGTGGTGGGTGTTATGTCCTGTTCTTACGTTGGTTGCTTGCTTGCATTTCAGTCTGCAGGGTTACTCTGCTGATAAATGACACGGCAGAATAGATAAGAAGGACCAGTCATGTCAGCCTTATCTGCAAATGTGGGAGATTGTGCGCCGGGAACGTTGTGCTCCTTCACTTTTGGCAGTTTGTCTTCCTTCAGCGCTCCGAGCGCCACTCGTGCCGCACTCTTGCTCCACTCGGGCTGGACTTATGTTTCTGACGGCTGCTCAACAGCCTTTTGTTTGCCCCGAGTGGGCCGCGGCCGCTCTCTGCTCTTCTCTTCACTGGATGGCTGGCTGGCAGCCCCCTCTCCAAAAGCTCACGTGTTAAGCCTCCTACATCCAAGTTCACATTGTCGAGCTGACCCAGCAACATGCCTCATCCATCACATTGTCCATTTCGATATCCATATTTGATGCTGCTTACTTTTTTTGGGGGGGTGGGAGACTTCGGTACATGATGGAATAACAACGAGCCCCTTGTGGCGAAGCCAAACGGCAGCCATCTTACATTGCCACTCATTTATCGGTGTTTATTAGAACTTCACTGTTTGCATCGCCCACCGTGCATCGTGACTTAGTGAAGATGGGTTTACATTTTGTAGCAAATTTTCACTTTCAATTCTTTAATGGTTCTGACATGATGCAGACGAATCTTTGAGCAGTAGTCGGAAATATACCTTAAGAGAAAATTTGCAATCGCATTCTTACCTATGAAATTTGCATGTAGCGCTTCTTCCAGACAAGCTGGTGTAACCGTACGCCACACATCGCCGTTTTCACCAAAGAGACAGAAAACACCGCAGCCAAATCAATGTACAGTCTTCAAGTTTGGCGCACTTAGTGAATGGCAACATAGAATGGCCGCCTGTGGCTTCACTTCTCGCCAGGGCGAGTAAAACGGATCGTTAGTCCAAAATCTACACGTCTGTGTCTGAGATGAATAAAAACAGGTACATTTATATCATTTTCTCATCACGACACTTGATCAGCATGAAAAGCGGGATTATCCCTGCCTTGCTTGTCCGCCTCTGCCAACCCCCTTCCATGCAGCTCGGGTTCGAGGGTCCTCCACACGTGCCGGTGGGCGAGAAACAGCAGCCCGCTGACAATCATGAGGACGGCGGCCACGAAGCCCACCCTAACAGCTGTGCCGACTTGCTGGCCGGCGGGAGCGTCGGGAAGCCCGAAGCGGGGCGGGAAGGGGATGGTAGCGTTGTTCACCACCGCGCTCGCGTTCCACACCAGGGGCACGAGGACGAGAGCCGCGGTGAAGAGATAGAGCGCCCCCGCAAGGATGAAGGCTGCACGCACACCGCCATGACATTCCATTGTGAAGTAAACCCGCCTCACCGCCTGGACTGCGGCGGCATTGCCCGCCAGGCCGCCCAACATGGCCAGTGCCATGAGAACCTGCGCCACCCGTATTTCCACCGGGACAAAACGATCCGATATGGTCATAGTCTGGCAGTTTTCCATCTTGGGTAAGGCATGGCTGTGGAAGCAAGCTCGCCAGATGCCCACCCAGGCCACGCCCGAGGTGATGATGGACGTGCAGTTGTCGGGGTGCAAGTGCCACAGGCGCCACTCGTCCATGCCCGTCGTGGCCATGGTGAGGATCCACGCCAGGCAGCCGGCCAGCAAGCCCAAAAATTGCCAATGGCCTGTGTGCGCCAGGAACAACATGTTGATATTGATGATGATGATGATGATGATGATGATGAGGTCAAGGGTCAAGGTTGCTCTTGCTTTGTCTCCCTTAGGAGAATTTTGTCTCGGGACAGCTGCGTATATGAATATAAACAAAGCATCATTAACAAATGATGTATCATTAGTTCTTGCACTCCACACTTAACGGTACATTCGCTGCCACCCATGTCACTCACCAGGCATGGATGGGCCCCACTTTTTAAAGTTAAGTTTCAAAAAAATCAGATTAAGTGATGATCGTGAGCTAAAGTGGACAAAATGCATAATACATGCGCCTTACGAAATACAAAATGGAAAAATGTGCAACTCTCAAGGAGGAATGAATTTTTGACAACTGCTTTCAAAGCAGTTTGTCTCTCTGATCACGTTGTTGGCAACGCATTCCTGGGTCAAAATCACAACAAAGTTTCTTTGGCGCGTTCAAGAGAATCAGTTGGTCATCATGAAAATGTAGTAAAAATGCAAAACCTTTGAGGCAGTGATATGTCTCTTACAATGTGCTTCCTTCATTTCATACGTTTATACATATTCATTTATTTCATTGAAGGTACCGGATGTGATTTTGGCATGTCTGACACACTCCTTTCCTAACTACAAGGAGTCATAAGTACTTCATAGAGATTCATACCAATTTTCTGATTTTCTTCAATAGAAGCTGAAACAGCTGAGTATTTTACACAAATGTGTCGTAATTTCATCACAATGTGCGCGTCGTTGGACATTGTCCACTCTGTTGCAGTGAAATATCAAACGGAGTAAAAACCTTTGAGAATTTGTTAACAGCAGCTAGTCAGCTTGCTGAATGAAATATGTCGCCAAGTGGTGGTCCGCCATATATTCAGTAAATATAAAGAAGAAAGAGACGTACCATTTAATTAGAGTTGGATTCACATTCAGCTGAGCAACGTTTGATGAATTGGTGGCGATGATGATGGGGAGAGGCCTGACATGTTGACTCCAGGATATCACTGTCACACGTTTAAAGATGGTTGCCGTCAACAGGGTGAAATATTTTAGTTAGTAGGAGCTTTTTTTTCCCCACCACAACGCCACAAACACGTGGCAACAGCTCCGATGGCACCATTCGTAAAACAAACGTTTCCATATCATTCGACCAAGGCAGAGTGATTGAGAAAACGGGGTAATTGTCTGAAATGTTGATTTTTTTTTTTTAATGCAGCTGATCGATACCAGATCATAAGAATTGCTGCTCCATATGTGCTAAACTAGCCGATGTTTGAAGATTTATAATTACGCTAATTCCCACGAGCTTGTCTATGTCGTTCTGCATTATACATTAGCGTCAAGCTAGCAGAGTGAGAACAGTTGCTAAGGGATACTTTAGAAAATTGTGATTATTTTAATATTGGCTCCCATAAGATTGCTTACCTAATAAAATGTCAATCCTTGAATAGAAGCCTAACACAAATGGTACATTAACTACACAACACAACAAACCTCATATTTACAATTGTGCTGAGTTTAAGTGGCAGTAGTTACCCGTAAAGACGTCCATCCAGGGTGAACATTTCCAAATGCAGGCCTTTTCAAAACAAGGAGTCGACAGCACCGAGCAGACCTTGCAACTGTAAAAGATGTTCGAGTAACTGTCACACTATCGGCAGCCCAGCAGGGCTTGGCTGAGTTAATGAGTGACACCAATGAGCGGGGCACCTGGAAAAATGCACTAACCACAAAAAAAAAAAAAGAAAAAAAAAAAAGAAAAAAGGGGCAACAAGGAGATTTTTTGACATTTGGATTTAATTTTCCCCATAGGGATTTTCAAGCAGATCGGGAATGAAGCCAAAACTAGCTCCAAAAAGTGGGTGCAGTAAAAATAAAATGCTGCAAAAAAAAAAAAAGAAAAAAAAAAAAGAAAAAAGGGGCAACAAGGAGATTTTTTGACATTTGGATTTAATTTTCCCCATAGGGATTTTCAAGCAGATCGGGAATGATTTTTGTGCCCGCCTGAGTGGAAGCTACGCAAAAGAGGGCCGTGAAAGACGGGTGGGAGTCATACAACACATTTTTTAACATTTTGTTTCGCCCGCCATGCAATTCTAAAAAAAAAAAAAAAAAAAAAAAACAACCCCGCCCCCCCCCCAAAAAAAAAGTCTGAGAAATTATTATAAAAAGTCACAAATGTTCATAATATAGAACAATAAACATTTCTTCAATTTAGCACGGCTCTTGGTTGGACGTTGGCGTCAGCGTGGTTAGCGACAGGCACTTGCTACTGAATGTCAAGTGCATCTCCTGTGCGGCCAAGTGCTCTGTAAAATGTCAACAACAGGGATGTGGGGGCGGGGGGGTCACTTCAAGGCCAGTGGCTGTTGGACCGTGAGAGAAAAAAAAGAAGAAAAAAAAATAGGAAATGCCTGGCATGAAAAGATGATAAATAGTGGTTATTCCGAGATCACGTGGCAGCTCCGGTGTTGTCCGCCTGATGTGCCGATCCAAAGGCTACAATAAATTACTAAAAAAAAAAAAAAAAAAAAAAAAAAAAGAACTTAAGGATACAGTGAAGCCCCATTGCATCACGGTTCATTTCATGTCCCAGCTCTATCGTGGATTTTTCATCGTAAATTCTTTTTTTTTTTTTTAAAACATTATTCAGTCAAACTTAAAGAGTTGTGCATCACTGGATTTTTCATCGTAAATTCTTTTTTTTTTTTTTTTTTATAAACATTATTCAGTCAAACTTAGAGTTGTGCATCGTCACTGTAGTACCACTTTGTGCCACAACTTGCTGAGCAGCACTGAGCTCTACTGAAAGAGATGTCGCCAAATAGAAGGAATGGCAGAGATGATCCGAAACTTTTCTTATTATAAAGTAACAGTAGTCGTTCCCAGAGAGCCGAAAGAATACAGTATGCGCGTGTGAATATTGCTACGAGAGTAGGATTTGGGTGAACATTTTGGTTTTTGAAAATACAGGGGTGCCTTGAGATACAAGATGAATTTATTCCGTGACCATGTTCATAACTCAAAACACTTCTGTTGCAAATCATCTTTCCCCAATGAAATGAATGAATGTGCCATGAATCCATTCCAGTCCACCCCTCAAAAAAATGCTTTCAACGTGTTTTTCAATAAAGAAATTAGCATGCTATCATAGTATTTTTTTTGTTTGTTTGTGCATCACGAGGAATTTATTTGGCACCTTCTGATGTGTGTGACTTAGCCACTGAGGGGCAGAGTAATGCAGTCATGCAGTCAAATGAAAAAGTTTCACACGGACTGTGACTCAGTTCGCTGCTATAATTTGTCGGCTTTCTCGGAGGATAAAGAATATATGCCTGTGAGAATTGTATTACTCAATTGTCTGTCTGTGTGTTGAGGCACCGTTTGTGTCCAAATATCTGTTGCTTCAAGGACTTTAACAGCACACCTAGTGATGCTATTCATTAGGCCATCTGTGCCATTTTGCACTGTGCGTTAATATTGAGCTGGCAGAAGGCGAAGTTGTTTTGGTGTTTTGTTCAGTTTGATGGTAAACTTCAAGGGAGTGGCATTTAAATAACTTGAAATTTTTTGCTTGGTAAATTTTTCCCGATCAGCCAAATTGCTACTTGCTGCGAACAAAGTGAACTGTGGTAACTGTCACCATACCGTGATTACATGTCAAATGTTTGCAAGTCAAACCAAAAAAACAAAACAAAAAAACTCGTAAGCTTGTTCACTTGTGTCTCAAGGCACCACTGTGCAATGTTTCAATCTCTTCTATTTTGTGTGGCCCAAAAAAAAAAAGGAAAAAAAAAAAAAAGGAAAACATTTTTTAATCTGGTCTCTTCATACCGCAGGTTTTCATGGATCACGGGTGAGTGTGTAGCGTATCCCCCCACGATAAACAGGGTTTCACTGCATTCAACACAGGTGCCGAGAAAAAGCAGCATCTTTCTTCAGGCAGCCGTGTTGGGGCTGACAGAGAAATACCTCAGACTCTGGCGGCCCCCGGTGGAGGCGAGGTGCACCTCACAGCAAGCCTTTCAAAAAGCCAAGCGCTGCTCGATGGGCAAACTGTCCAGCAGGCACTTGAGCTGCTCTTCGCCCAGCTTGATTTTGTCCTCCAGCTTGCGCTGCTCGATGATGAGCGCCGACTTCATCTTGACAAAGTGCTCGTAGTCGGCCATGCCGTCCTCGGGCAGGTAGCTGGCCAGGATGTCGTAAACGGCCCGCTCGCGCCGATCCAGGTTGTCCTTCAGCTCCTTGGCGTCCTCGTGCTGCCGTATCAGCAGCTTGCGCTTCTCCGTCAGCGTGCGCTGGAGGGAAAAAAGGGGTGGGGGGGGGGAAGTTGGAGAAGAGCCATCTCATGAGACATTGGTCAGGAGTTGTTGTGCTGGAGCTGGGAGTCATCTATACTTCTCCAGACATGCAAATGTATTAAATCCAATTCCAGACATTTCCAAATTTGCATAGAAATCCTGTGTATTCTGCGTACAACTTCTAAGTGAGTCTCAAGTCTTCACCTTCACCGGCTCGTTGGCCTGGCACCCCTGCTGGCCGCGAGCCTCCACCTCGTCTCCCAGCGCGTTGTTGTCCAGCACGTCCTCCTGCAGGCTTTGGCGGGCTTCGCGCAGGACCTGAAGCTTCTTGCTCAGGCTGTCCATCAGCTCTTGCTGCACCAGATCGAACGCATTTATTGGTGACTTTCAATTTTTTCATACACTAGACAATTTTTTTTTTTTTGCCGTGTACTGCGCAGCCCCTTTCGCACTGCTCATCAAGGCCTACAGAAGACTAATTTATCATTTTGTGAGGAGTGTGTCGTACTTTCTTGTTCGCCAGATCCATGTCCAGTTCGTCCTCCGAGTCGTCATAGTCCTCGTTCTGCTCCTGCATGTCTTTCATTTTGATGAGAAGCTCAGCTTTGGGGGCCGACGTGCTGTAATACGCAGAGCTGGTCACCAAGGCAACCGCCGCCGCCATGCTGTCTTCCTTCTCCCTGAAATAAGATCAGAACATTGTCATCGCGATGTCTAACATGATAACCATGACGTGTTTGACACTCTTCCAAAGACAGCCCCAAAGAGTGAGAGTTGAATGTTGCTAGCTGAGATTCGTGGCTGGCTGTGAACTGGCTAACGGTTAGCGTTTTAGTGCCCGTTTTTGTGGCCATCGTAGCTTGTGTATAAAAGGCGCATTTTTTTTTTTTTGTTTTTGTGTTTTGTTACGTCTTAAATTTTCCTTTTGTCGCATCATCTTATTTCTCCACAAAGTGATGACTGAGTCTGTAGCATTATTTGAGTTATTCGATTCATCATTTTAGCCCGACTCCAGACTGAGTTGAAAATTCCTGACCTTTCCTCAGCCTGCCGGGTGGCGTTCGGGGGTTTGGCGGGTGCTTTCTTGCGTTGGTGAGCTCCTTCCAGCAGCTGCTCGCCCTGAGGGAACAGGCCCTCCATCAGGTCCATGGTGGTTTTCATCTTGCTCTGGTCCAGGATGTCAGCCAGCGACTTGTCCTTGTCCATGATGTCGCGGGCCAGCTCCTCCCTCTTCTGCTCTTCAGACATCGTCGGGGTGGCGGCGTCCCTCTCGCCCTGGTCCGAAGTCACACCAGGTTCATCAAGTTCTTTCTGCCGAGTGAAAGTGCAGAAGACCGAGTCCTGCCCACTGGCTCCCAATCTGCCGAGTTTGCTAATATCAGGACCGCCCGTTCCGGCCGCAGATGCCTCGTCAGGCCGCGGAAACGTCCTCCCGTTCTCCGTCTCCGGCATTCCCTGAGAGCGCACGATCCTGACGGGCACTTTCTTCACCGCGCTGCTTGGCTTTTCCGTCCCGTTTTCCATCCTGGAATGGAAAGAAAACACAGTGAGAATAGTTTGGGGAGGAGGAAAAAATTTCCTGTGGCCACATGCAAGTGATTTTAAATGTCACTGCACGATGGCAGAGAGTTTTTCCATGCCCAGCGACAAGAAGATCTCAATGCGCTGCTCTATGAATCTATCAAATTAGAAATTTACTAGAAAGCAGATGAAATAGAATGAAACCTCTTTGGGAATCAGGCCGAATTTGTACTTTTTTTTTCTTTCATTTTTAAATCTTTTATCCTGAATACGAGGATGTCTCAAATAGACATTGACAATTTTATTGGAACGTAAGATTCAACCAAGGTTAATATAGTTTGCGAAAACCAACGAAATGAACAAAAATGGACCCCCCCCATAACATTTTTAAAAATTAAAACTACTCACTATATAGTATTTTCATCTTTATCAATTCATTTGTGAGCAATTAATTTCATGTGAGCTTTCAGGGTTCATTTTTAATTTATTTCAGTGTTGCTGTATGAACATGCAGGACAAGAAAGGTCAAATAGTCATTTAAAAATTATTCTTGACCTTTCTTGGCGAGACAATGCTGGAAAAACTGAAACTAATGCTGAAAGCCATAAAAACTAAACTAAAACATTTTTATTTTGGGATGAATGAATGAATGAATGAATAAATAAAT